CTCCCTCTCTCTTTAAAAAAAAATATCCCCATCATCCTGACAAACTTGACTCTCCAGGATCAAAGCAGCTAAGTGAGGAGCTGGACCCTGCTTATATCACAAGCCACTGTCATTTGGACCCGCCCCTCCAGCAGGAATCATGGAGAGCAAAGCCACAATGAAGACACCCTGGCATATTATGCTCCATCTGCAAAGCACTTCACAGATACCAACTAATTAACCCTCCACTTCCCTCCTGCCCTCCTACCTTAGAAGCAGGTGGCATCTCCAAATTATGTCACAGCTGCTTGCAGAGAGATAGACACAAGAACATCCTCAATGAGGTCCAGGGCTGCAAAACAAATAGATGGCACCTGGGGCTTTTGTGAAATAAAATTACCACGTATAAACACATTGGGAGAGCTGCTGTCACAGTGGCAGGAAGGCTGGCTGGGCTCCAGGGTGTCAGAGACAAGCCAGCCCATGGTAGGTTGGTAACGCTGTAGGTGCCAGGCGGAAGAGATGACTGCACTTCCAGGAGTAGGGTCAGGGGGTGGAGCAAAGGCTATCGAGGAGGTTCCTCAGAGTACCCTGCTCCCATCCAAGGAGAATTTTTAAAAATTTGCTTAGAAGAGAAAGCATGGATGAAAGACACACAGATGTAAAGACACAGGGGCAGCAAAGGTGCCCGTCTCCCATGTGTCTATGAGCAGAAACGTTTGTCATGAATTTCTCCTGCAGGTGTAGGAAATGACGACATTCTTCTAAGTTCTGGGTGTCTATACTCAGCTGGTAACTGCTAAACTAGTTTGGTTTGAACTATTACTTTTAATGGGAGAAAGCCCAGGCCTGCGGAAAATTGCCATTATTTTATATTTACAATTATCAAAATGGATTTGTTTTTTAGATAGAACCTGCTTTAATTTTAGCTACAACCTGCATTTGTAAAGCCAAGAGCCAGGAAAGTCATCAGACCTGGTGATTTACCTGATGAAAGAGAGTTCTTCCTGGGGCTATGTTCTGTTCTGGTTCTGAGTTCCCAGCAGTCTCCTTTTCCAGTGATTTTGTGTTATTGAGGGCACTGGAGGCTCCAGGAGATCCTGATGAGAGCAAGAGGAAGGGCGTAGGTGGATGTTGGGCTGGATAAGTTTGTACAAAGAAGTCACGATGCCTTTCTTTCTATCCACCTGGGCCGTTTGTGGTGGAAAACCCCTTAGAGAAGCCTCTATGGAAGGATAAGCCACAGCCCCTGTGCCTCCAGGACTCATAGACAGCTGCTGGGGGAGTCAGACAGCCAAGCAGTTACACAAGAGATGGGCCAAAAGAAGCTTCCTGACATAGTGGGCCACTCGGACACAGCTGTGTCCCTGTCCCCACGTACACGGCCAGGCCCTAGCAGTGGCACCTTTCACAGGAACACAGAGCAGGGCCATTATTTTATATTTACAATTATCAAAATGGATTTGTTTTTTAGATAGAGTCTGCTTTAATTTTAGCTACAAGGCAAGGGTTTTACTAAGACCCTGGAGCCAAGAGGGAGTGCCAGGTTGGTGCAGGAAATGGGGCTGCAGCCCCATTTGTATAGGTAAGAGGTGCGTGCATGCACACACACACACACACACACACTTAGAGTCCAACTTCAGCCCCAGTGTGCAGCTGGCCGGAGTGGCTCCTACGGAAAAGAGCAGGTTTTAGGAGATTCAAGAAGCAGAGCATTGAATTCAGGAGCAACAAAACCAGACAGAAGAGTAGGATGGAGGGGAGCCAGCAGTGGTGAGTGGGCAGCACAGACAAGGCTGACCATGAGCACAATAGGTGGGCAGGGCAGGGGCCAGGCCACTGGAGAGGCTAGAGAGCATGGGTATGCCGCAGGTCATGCACAGCTGGGGTCTTGCACAGCTGAGGAGGAGGAGGAGAAGGGGGGGGGAAAGAAAACTGTGGAGGTCTCCATTTGTTGAGAGTTCCATTTGTTGATGGGTGATCTCTGAGGATTAAAGGGATCTTTACAAATGTAAAGGTAAGAGGTGCATGTGCGCGTACATGTGTGTGTGCGCGCACACACACACACACATACACACACACACACAGAAACTGGAGAGGTCTTAAAGGATAGTAACAGGTAGAGTGGAAACCAAGAGGTGCAAGAGGACGTTTCAATCAGCTTTTTCACCACTTTGACTGAAAGACCTGACAAGAACAAATTAAGAGGAGGAAAAGTTTATTTCAAGGCTCACAGTTGCAGAGGTCTCAGTTTATAGACAGCTGGATGCATTCTTGGGGAGCAAAGTGAGATAGAACATCATGGCAGAAGGGCATGGAGGAGGAAAGCAGTTCAGGACATGGAACCAGGAAGCAGAGAGAGAGTGCCACTCAATAGGGACAAAATATAAACCTAAAGGGCACACATGCAGGGACCCACCTCCTCCAGCCACACCTACCTGTCCGCAGTTACCACCCAGATAATCCCTCTCAGGGAGTTAACACTGATAGGTTAGGGCTCTCAGAAACCAATCACTTCACCTGTAAACTCTCACACATGAGCTTTTGGGAACACCTCACATCTCGGCCATGACTAGGACTCTCTGGAGAACGCATCAGGTATTTCAGCAGTGTCCTTGACACCTCATTGCCACTGCTGATGAGGTGTCAGTCATGAACGTTTAGGTCATCTGCCTCTGCCCAGCAGTCTGCTGTCACTTGTTGCTTTACAGATGATTCTGAAACACAGCTCAGTACAGTAAGCACTTATCCTCTCACACTGATGCTGGGCCAGGAGCCCAGGGTCAGCCTGGCCAGGTGGCTTTGGATCAGAGTCTCCCAGGATGTTGCCTAGGCTGCGGCTTCACTGGGCTGGGGATCCACCTCCTGCACCCACCATCACACACCTAGAAGTCAGCGGCCTTGGTGGCAGGAGGACTTAGGAATACCACCTGGACTCTGCCAAGGGCAGCCCAGTGCTCCAACATGGCAGCTGCTCCCCTAGAGTTGGGCTCCCCTAGAGTTGGGTGGGGGATGTGGGAGGAGAAGGGAGGCAGAGAGAGGAAGAGGGGTGCGAAAGGGGATCTTTCTTGACCTGGACAGACCTGGAAGTCAGGCACCTTCACAGCATTGTGTCAGTTAGAAGCAGGGCTCTGAGCAGAGCCACTGTGAGAAGCAACGGAGCTGGCCTCTGCCTTTTCAAGTGAGGAGCATAAGGAGCTTGTAGCATCTTTTAAAAGTGCTGTAACAATGGGAAGTTTGGGGCCTGACGTTGGAGATGTTTGATATGCACAGATGACCCTAGAAGCAGGTGTGATTCTGGGCCTGACGTCTCTGGCTGTATTTGCAGTGGACTCCGAGGTAGTTTAGGTGACTGCCAGTGCTGCTGAAGCCCCAGGAGAGGCAGAGTGGCTGCTCATGGCTCATGTGTCCCTGTTTCTTTGCAGATCTCAGTGCTCTTTGGTGGAGCATTTCCCAGGAGAAGCAGCTGTTGGTCTCACAGTTTCTGTATGTCCCAAGCCCCTCTCATTCAGCTGGTCAGAGCAGGGCAGCTGTTGGAAGAGTGGAAAGAGCCAGATTTGAGGGGAAGCTTCTAGCACAGGTTCACTAAAATCAAATAAATTTGTTCCCCACTCTGTTATCATTTTCCTCCAGTGATCTTGGAGGAAGGAGGAATTGACGTAGGGTAGGCCCGGCCTGATTGTGCTAAGCGTAGCAGCAACTGAAAACGCATATCTGGCATAGCTAAGTAATTAGACCACATTTCTCTCATTTTGTAAAAAATAAATAAATAAATAATAAAATAAAAATGACATTTAGTGGAAAGTGTCTGTAATCCATTTTTCATAGGCAGAAAAGACTCCTTTGCCCCAACTCAGAGCTTGGTCCTTGGTTGACTGTATTTAAGATGAAGTGGAAATCGGCATGGTCATGTTAGAGATTCTTCATATGCCCCGCAGAAAGGGATGACTGCTTGAAGAATAGAGCTCTGCCAGTCCTTGGCTGGGGTTTAAATCTAGCAAAGTCTGTGTCCAGGTCCAATCAGGAACCAGGGCATGATGAGAGCATCGATTCTGTTCTCCTCAAATGACTGGGAAAAACAGTGACCATGGATCCACAGACTGTTTACAATATGGCCTTTGCATCCAGATCATCTGGGTCTTACTCCCTCTCTGCCACTTCCTAGCTGTGAGTTTAGCAAATTAGTATGAGATTTCTCTGTCTCAGTTTTCTGATCCAGGCTGGGGATGTAGTTCAGGGTTCGAGCACTAGTGTAGCATGTGCGAGACCCTGGGTTCAACCCCCAGTACCTGCAAAAAGAGTTTTCCCAACTGTGGAGTGGAGACAATGACAGCTCCTACCTCCAAGAGCTGTTGTGCATAACGTATGTACCTACGCCACAGAACTGTGATATGCATCACCAGCACTGGCAAGTTAGCTATTTATGTTGATCACTAATCATTACCAAGAATAATGTGGACAGAGTAGGTGAAGAAACACGTTACTGGAACTGAGCACCAAGCCTGAAAAGCATACCACAGTCCATTGTTAGAGGGTGTTCTTCCATCCCACCTGGGCCTGCTGTGTGTTAGTGACCTCTCTCTCTCTCTCTCTCTCTCTCTCTCGCTCGCTCGCTCTCTCTCTCCACCTCACGGTTCTCCCTATGACAGCACTTCTCACACTACATCATAGTTGTGAGATTTACCCCCCAGTTGCAAACACACCACGTGGGGGGTGCGTTCCTTGTTTATCTCTATATCCGCAGCAACTGTCTCAGTGCCTGGTATATGCTTGGGGTGCACAGTGTGTGTGAACAGAGTGTTGGATTAATTACCTAATTAAAAATCAATCAGCAATCATGGGTTAAGTACCTACTAGGTGCAAGAAGACAGCCAGGACTAAGACAGACACAGTCCTTGCTCTCATGGAGCAATCTGGCAGAGCTGTTTGCAGAACCCTGGGTCCCCCAGGACCTTGGCAGAGATGGAAGGCAGGCAAGCATGCTGCTGCTGATGTCCACTCCAATCAGTCTGGATATCATCAGAAAACACAGCCATTCAAACCTTAAGGATGCATTTGTCCGAGTAGCACAAGTCTGGAAGTAGATGGCTCTGAAGGTTGTTCACCAGCTCATGGGTTCCAGGGTCATAGGTGAGTATTAGAATATCCATGGCTTCCTCTCAGGTGGACAAAGGGCTAACAAAGCTACATCATCTCTTCCAGGGGCAGTAAGTGTGAGGAACTTCCATGTGCCCCTCCTTGGATTAGATCTTCCCTTATATGTCACTGTGCAAGATGGGGGTCACAGAGCACCCTACCTGCATGGGTAAGAAGCAGGCAGAGAGTGGTGGTGGCAGTGGCCTCTGGGGTCAGACAGCAGCAG